ATCTATAGAGCTATCTCCCTCCCTGGGCTCAAGCCAATATGATTTGATGAGACCGTTAGGGCCCCAGCATAATCCCACTACTGCCAGCCTAGCTAACGTATGAAAACACGCTATCACTTCCTGTTCTATTATTCTCTTGCTATAAAGCTAGCAGTTGATCTGGCTGTGCTAATTGGGGAACTTACACATTCCCTTTAACAATGTCTATTTTGGTGTGTTTTGCCAATGCATTAATAAGAGTCTCTTAGAAGATAATTTGCACCCTGGAAAACAACAGAAACATATGAGAGGCATAAATTAGGAGCCATTATCTTTGTTCAATTAGCAGCCACCCTTGTGTTTATCTAAAGTTCATTTTAAATTATTCACCATTATATGGTAGCTGTGTGCTTTGTTCCAGCTAAAATGTTCACCAAATAAAATGTTGGGTGCAATTACCGTTCATTGGATTACAAGGGCAAAGCATATTGTGTGTCGACTACAGTACAGTAAGCCAGTAAATTGGGGGAATTACTGTATTGGCTTGTGCCACATGATCTTTAGATAGGGCGTGACGGGCAAGGAACCTTATTACAATGACTGTAAATAATGAAAACCGAGCAGGAGCCAGAGTGGACCTTTACAGAGTATGGCACCGGGCAGAAATGGACCACTTGGGTTGGGAGTAGTTATCTACAAACTGTAGTCAATGACTCACAAACAAGACTCCCACTCTTGCATTTGCCCTGATAATCTTCTGTATGTTCCACTATAGGTTAGAAGGCTACGAGTCATGTTCAAGGAATTTGTGTGTGACTCAGAGACACACTAACAGGAGAGCCACCCACCACACTGCTGCAGTAGGACTGGAGCTGCTCACCTGCACACTGTCTAGCATAGCAGCAGTAGCACCTTACTGATAGACAGACAGACAGACAGACAGACAGACAGACAGACAGACAGACAGACAGACAGACAGACAGACAGACAGACAGACAGACAGACAGACAGACAGACAGACAGACAGACAGACAGACAGACATACATACATACATACATACATACATAGAGAGAGAGACAGAGAGAGAGACAGACAGACAGACAGACAGACAGACAGACAGACAGACAGACAGACAGACAGACAGACAGGGGCCTCTCTCTGTGCCCATATAGAGGGGAGAGGGATTGTTGCCTTCATTCAAAAACCAATGTGTGTGTGACACAAAGGGCTCTGTGTTTAATTAGGAGGTCCCTATTGCCTGGGTAGACAGGACCCGCTTTTATAGAGCTTCCCCTGTGAATTCTATCAGCGCTTTGCAACACTGGGACACTGAGCTGCATCCTGAAAATCTCTAAAAAGGCTGCTATTCTTTCTAATGTGTTTTTGTGGGATTTCAAAAACAGACTCAGAGAGACAGAGAAAGACTGGTAGGTTAATAAAAGCAAATGATGTATTCAGGAATTTGTGGCGTAGTCTGTTCATCACCAATAATGGTGAAGAAGAAAAACATGATTAAAATACAGCTCAATGAGTATCTGCATGTAATGGAATGAATCCTACCTTGAGACAGACACACCTACGTAACTTCAACTGTATGCCAATTTGAGCCTTTAAAAGCAAACACTGTCAAAAAAAAGTTTGATTGTGTAAAGGAACCTTGTGGATACATGTGTCATACCTAGGTTTGTGTAGGTTTGTGTCAACCAGGATTTCGGGAAACCAGGGAATTTATTGAAAGTTCCCAGAATGTTGCAACCCTAGTCATACCCAAAAAATATATATCAAGTGAGAAAGGAAGCTGCTACTGATTAACCCTTTATCGGGGCCCTGGCCTGGCTGGCCCCTGGACCCCTGGGCCTGTCATGCTTCTTCAAGCTCTACTGCTGTTAAATGACCACAGCAGAGGGAGGGAGGCCGGCTCCGCAACCCTGTGGATACTGCGCTGCACATATGAGAGGAATCAGGCCCTCGCTAGCTCTTGAGCAGGGCCATATGTCTGTATGTCTGTCTGTCAGTCAGCCAGCCAGGCCCCAGAGAGTAGAGCTTCTCCTCAGGCTGCTCCTTTCTCTGTTAACACTCACCTATAACACACTGACAAACACACAAACCCATAGGATACACACACATACACACACAAATACAAGCACGGACATATCAACATATAAAGGCACCCACATATGTACACAAGTTCTACAGTATGTGTGTTGTTGTGTTGTGGTGTTGCTGTGCTTTATAGGAGTGTGTCTGCCTGGCAGGCTAGGGCTGTGGAGGTGGTTAGCTAGCCCTTGTGTAATTAAATTGCATCTTTAATCTGGGAACTGTCTGCAGCTATTATCATTTAACCCTTGGAAGTCCCCTGCTGTTCCTCCACACCATTTAAAACCACATGTGAGGAAACCTTTTCCACTTTGAAGTGAGCGCTGACAACAAGGCACTGGTCTTTTCTCTTTTAACTAAGGCAATGGAACTTCTTTAAAGCCAAACAACGAGTACCAGCACACTCTGTGCTCTTGGGAGATGCTATGGGTGACAAAATATTATGGGGAGGAAATAATTATGTCTGCATTACATTAGAGATTTTTTATTTTTACTTTGTATATTTTTATAGTAACATAAATAAATGTAATAGTTCAATAGCCTAAAGTCCAAAACAGCTCCAAATAGAACACATATCTAAGAACAATAATTCTCTATATAAAGTGAATCTACAATAGGCATCATTCCCAGCCAGAGGGATAAATAGAGATGAATGAAGTGTAGAGTGACTCAAAATGAGTGGATCAGTGGACGGTAGGGGTGTGGAGGGCTTGGGGGAGAGGGGGTTGACAGCGGAAGACAGCCACGTGGAGGTCCTTCACAGGAGCAGGAGAAGGAAAAGCAGCTCTGAGCTAGATAAGTAGAACCAGACCTGGCCAATGACGAGAGTGTTTAAGGCTGCTGGATTAAAAGGGTGAACCAACAATGGCCTCCATAGAAAATCCCTATCAGTGGGATAGTTTATATCACTGCTAAACATACGATGCAATAACGCCAGCTCAGAGTTAAATTATAAACATAGCTAATTAATTATGGATTGCTCCTGTGTTATTGTTAATGTGAGGACAGACAGACACATTGAAATTGACCTAACAGGGTTTTTCTGATTAAAAGCATCCCCCCATTTCATCTGGGGAGCTCCGTTCTTTAACCTTTACTGTGTGAAGATAAAGTTCATCCTTTCAGGGAATATTTATTATCTTGTGCGTGTGTGTGTCACTTCGTCTCACACCGTACCAGCCCCATCCTTCAGGAATGCATGGACTGTTGCCATCCCCATGCGCAGGAGATACACGGCAGCTCTGAAGCCTTGTGAGAGCGCAGGAATTTCCACCTGGCCTGGATCTGTGTGAGAGCTCTGAGGGCAGAGGGGCTGGTGGGGATGGGGGGCTGGTGGGGATGGGGGCTGGTGGGGATGGGGGCTGGTGGGGATGGGGGGCTGGAGGGCTGGAGCATGGGAAAGGACAGCAAACTGTTACTGTAGCCGGAGAGCTGCACTCCATCACAGCACAGCACGGCAAGGCAGCCCCCCCCCCCCCCCCCCCTCTGACTCCCACCTGACATCACAACCTCCCAGTCAGATGGCCCCTGTGGGCAGGGAGCAGACCTCCAAACAATCACTACCCCAAATACACTGAGGTCCTCTGAGTCTGGAGTTGGCACTGGGTTGGATCAAATGCAGCCATTAGAGAAACTAATACAAATTCCTCCAATCCATGGCGATTATCTCTATATAAAAATATCCTCTTCACAGAAACATGTGTTTGGCCAACAACAGCAGTCACCACCATTTTATTAACTAATTTCATAGACTGCTACCCATGCTGTTAACATATGGCTGTGCTGCCATTTACTCCTACATAATTACAGAAAGCCATATGAAAGACTCAGCCTGGGCTCTGACGCTAAAATAAACCGGATTTGTTGCTATTGGGGAGGAATAAAAAGTGGGTGTGATTGTCAAGGAGACAGCCCCTAACAGTCCAATCGAGTGCCGGTCGATGTGGTTGATTGATGCAGAGGCTAAACAAACAGGCAGAACAGAGCTCTGCTTAGCGTCTATTTCTGCCTTTCTGTCTCCTTTACTGGCTTTCCATGGCCGCATTACTTGATGACTTTCTTATGTAAGAAACACATGCTCTGTTACGGATCAGATTTACTTCAACATTTTGCTTTTAATTGTCACAAGCCTCTCGTTGATTCCCTAACGGTGTTTATCAAGTTTAATACTTGATTCACATAACAGTAATCCTCTCCCTGGACGGAATTAGTTTAACAACAACAAGGGACGGCTAGAGGAATAAAAAACGAGAGTTTGGAAAAAAACACAGAGCCTTGAGCTTTAACTTCTGATAAGCCCCTAACGCCGTAATCAAAACATCTGCTATCTTAAAACAAGTGACATTGTAATCCCGAAGGACAAAGACTCAATCTTTCTCCCTCCTCTAAGTAGAACTGGATGAAAAGAGAGAGAAGGCCATTCAAAAGGAGACTCGATTAAATTGGACCGTGCCTGGTTCCAGACCACTCTGCCTGTTTCTGCACACCCCTCCCTCCCTCCCTCCCTCCCTCCCTCCCTCAAAGAAAACCCCTGAAAGTGCATGGCGTACCAGGGAGGGTGTCCAGTTACGGTCCTGGTGTTTTTATTTGGACTCCTCCAGTCTGGTTTACAGCCCCCACTGATGTGATCAGTTACATCATCAATATGGGACCACAATCTGAAGCGCTTTCCCCCTGGAGCCAAACCAGAAGCACTTTGATGGCAAGGAGGAGGATCTCTAGTAAAGTCCACTGTTCTCCATACTAACAGCAGGGTAACCCAATCCCCCAGTGCTGTTTTACCACTGCTAAAAGTCTGCAACATGCAGGCTGGAAGCTTGTTTAGAGTACTAATTAACTCAAAGCTGTTGTATATTAAGAGGACGGGGGCATTTTTAAGAGCGGGACTCTAATGAAAACAGAGTGCCGCCAAGGTGCCTCGCTACCTCGCCCCTGCCTGCCTCATCCCTCCCCTCATCTCTCCCTCATCCCTCTGGTTGGCCATCTTTACGAGCGGCCAGACCAGCGCCACACAGGACAGAGTAAAACTGGGTCACGAGGGGAAAAAATGTAATGAAGTAAGCATTAAAGGACTTGTGGTAGGATAAACAAAATGTCTAACATGATCAAACTGATTTGAAGTTGTTGTGAGAGTAATCTATGCTTGATAAGGGCCTGGTGAGGCTTGTAAACAAGCAGATAGACTGAGGGGAGTGCAGCAGATGGTATAAATAAGTGTCTCTTTTGTTTAATTGTAGATATAGTGGTGTTTCATCAGGACAGATCACAAGGACAGAGTCTGGGGAAAGCTGCCTTGGCTGGAGACACAGATCTTTACATCTAGGGGCCTCTCTATCTGTTTGAAATAGATCCATACACTTTCAGTACCTCCCCAAGTCTGGTGGAAGAGATATAACACCCTCCTCCCTGAACTGCTCATCAAGGGGAATTTCCAGGTAGCACATTAGTCTTTAACCACAGCATGAAAGTGTGGAGTGTGGACCTGTCAAAGTATGATGTGTTGTGGTGGTGTGTCAGCGAGCCCAGGAGTAGAGTCCTTATTAAGGGGGCTTGGTCCCAGGGCATAGGGTGCTTCATTCTAGCATGTATGCTAGTGAAGGTACTGTGCTCTGTTCTAGAGAGCAGAGTGAGTTCCTCTTTAGTGGAGTGATGGGGAGTCATTTCTCACAAACACTGTGGACAGTGACAGCAGCACCAGAGGGGCCAGCTCTCTGGCCTCTCCAGCAGAAGCAGACATTGACAGTGGGGCCTTTCTCTTGGGAAGTGCACTTGAAAGGGGGATTTTTATGGCCCAGCACTAAATCCTGCTTTTGTGCTTAATGCTGTGTAAATCCAAGGGGTTTGCTTTTCTGTTTTGCCTCCACACATCACAGGGACTGTGGACTGGGAGAGGCCTGGAGGAGTGGAGAGGGAAGGGGGTGAAGAGGGGATCTATAGCCCACTCCACCATTCAACAACGTACGCCTACTAGAGCAGGGACAGATCTTCAGCCAGGGAAAACATGCTTCCTAAAGTTTATTTCAAAGTATGGAACTGATAATGAAGCCATTTGTGATGGTGAATTGAGAGGAGAATTATGTTTTAATGATCCTCCTCAGAACAGAGAACAGAGATTGGGACAGAGAGAGAGAGAGAGAGAGAGAGAGAGAGAGAGAGAGAGATACAGCGAGTAGAGAGCGATAGAGCGTACGCAGAGCGATATCGTCCGCGTCGCTCGTTACTGGTCTGTTCTTTGTTTTTCGTCTGTGTTTGTCGTGGCGTGTTTGTCGCGTGTTTGTGTCTTGGCGTGTCTTGGTAGTGAGTGTGTGTTAGTAGTGAGCGTGTTTGGTAGTGAGTGTGAGTTAGTAGTGAGTGTGTGTTGGTAGTGAGTGTGTAGTGGTAGCAGGATAAGTAATAGGTGGGTCATAGAAGAAGACTGCTCCTGGCACCAGACCCACCCTACAGTAAAGCCTTGGTTTTCTTCAGACGGCTGGGCTGGGGCAACGGCCTTGACTACAGCCAGCCACTGACCGACCACCCCTACCCAGAGTAACCCAGCCCAGCCCTAGCCAGCCTGTCTGTGTCCAACACTCAGCATGGGTGGTCCCTAACCTGACCACACTGTACTGTAACCGCCTCACCAACACACATGCCCAACACTCCCCACATACACATCCCACACACTGGCACTCCCCCTCCTCTCCTCTCCTCCTGCTACATCTCATGCTGTTTTCTTTCTTTCTTTCAGCAAATATGCCATGTTTATTTATGGTGCCCTCGTTACATTTTTCTTGGTTTGTGTCTCGTGTGAATACTCTCGCCCCCTCCTCCCCCATTTACATTTTTTTTCTCAATTTTCCATAATTACTTAAGGGGAGAAAAGAACACAATCCACTTTGGAGAGAAAATGCACAGCCAATGACCACCACCGTATACACTGACATTACTCCAATAAAACCTTCATTTTCAATCTGAGCTGAGCATAAAACGAGCTATTCTAAGTGCACCTTTATAAATATATAAAGTAAATGAACAAACATTTGTAGGACTTTAACTGAATACTGTATAAACAAACTTCTTCTTCCACCAAAAACAGTATCTCCCTTAACCACCACATTGAGGTGAACAAGGCTCTTCCCCTCACTAACAATATGCTGTGAACTGTAGCCCCGGTGCTGTCAAAAGGCCTGCCACGTCACTCAACTGGGATGGTATCATTTCAAAGGCAGCATTTACCAGCCTCTTTCATGTCCCCACCTCCACCCTCCAGGCACTTCTCTCTCTACCAGCAGCAGCACGCTTCATTAGGTGTTGTTACTTTCTCTTCTCTCCATCTTTGTTAATTAGGATGTGATAATTATTCCCCTCCATCTTTACCCCTCCCAATTACCGATGGCCAATTATCATGTGATGTGAATGACGACTGTAAGAGAGAGTGACAGAAGAATGAAGCGAGAGATATCAAAAAGAGAAAGAAAGAATGCGATGGAGAGAAAGATAAAGAAAGACAGTAAAGTACCAGTGTTAGGCTGTAAACCTCTTAGTGGATATTGGGATTATAATATACGGTATGTAAATGTGTGTAATATCTGTCAGATAGAAACCTATGAGATTTGACATGTGGCCTGTGGTGGGGTGTGGCTGGGTAAGGAAAGGCCAGTGAGAGGGTGGGAGGGTGAGGGGAACACATGAACGAGCCACTGACCTGAATCTGCTGCTGGAGGATATTGATTTTGTGCTGCTGCTGCAGAAGCTGCTGCTGTTGTCTGGCAATCTGTAGATGAACACCAGAGAAGAAGAGTCACAACAGTCAGAAACATGTTCCTTTAATCTCAGAGTACAGTAAATGCTTATACCACTCAGCCAGGCCGGGGACTGACTATCAACTGACACTAAGGAAAACATGACACTGTAACTGCAGGACAGTATTTGCAAACAAGACGTCATGGTGATCTGAGCCCCATTACAACATATCACCACCTGCCTAAAGACATGACAGAAGTCAACAGTGGCCTTCAGCATTAGGCACAGTATACCAGAGCTGTAGATTTTGTGGTATTGCTGGCCTAGCGTGCTTGGCTAGGAGGGCTGTGATGGGCAGTCTGAGATGGGGAAGCAGAGAGGGAGATTGACGTGTTTACGATGGTGGTAACTGGTGTGGGCTGAGCTGGGCTGTGCCGGGCCGGGCCAGGCTGGGTAGGAGTGTTCTGGCAGACTCCTATCCCTCTCGTCTGAGTGGCACTGCATCTGCCGGCGAACAGCCCCCCATCTATCCCAGCAGCCTCTCTGTCTAACTACACGCTCGCTTCATTGAGCATGACAACCTAGTTTTAAGTGTCATTTAATTTTCATTTTCAAATATAATTACAAAGTGTTCACTGTAAGATATCACTCGTCTGCAAATGTGTCAGGATTAATTTGTCCTGGCTTCTTCACGAGTGTCAACAGTTAATTACTGTGTCGTGTCTGGGTGGCTAAATGACGTTCTAACTCTGGGCAGGCTCCTCTCATCTTCTCCCCCCCACTATTCCACCCTTTTCTACTCCATTGGGGGATAGACAGATCTGCTGTCTCTCATACATGATGACAAAACATGCAAATATCCTAAATCATTATATAATTTATTAATATCAACATAGCATACCATGGAACACCCTTCTTCATAATACTGTGATTTCACATATGGAAGAAAACAAAAAAACAAATTTAGTTTATAGTAAAAGATGATTGAACAATAGCATGATTGAACGGTATACAGTACTGTACATAAAATCCCAGGTAATTGACCTTTACAGTTATTAGCACATGCAGGAGTGAAAGCTGTAGGGAGAAGCTAACTGTAAGTGTAGGCTATACTCCAGGCTGGTAATTTACTCTTGGCCATTAGGAGGCTTGGTGATAATAAACCCGTCGCCAGTGTGGACAGATCCCATCCTTATTTCCAACCAGACATTAACATAGTTCATGGGCTGTGCTAATTTGCTGATTTGTACAATATGCCTCATTTGGCTGATTTGTGCCTCCCTTCTAACGCAGGGAGGGATTGTTCTAATAGGCCTCTATTTACAAGATATAGAGGACCTCCAATGTTTAATATCATGTTTAATTCACATATCCACTATAATGTGTTAATACAAGTCATAATAACATTTTTCTCAACACAAAGCATAAATGTGGGTGAGAGAGCATGACGACACTTAGATGAAATACTCAAGCTAATATACGGTAAAATAAAACATCTATTCAATCTAATATTATTTCAAATTCCTACTAAGTAATGACACTTTATTGGCATATTTTGGCAATAAAGTTTTCTGATGAATCAATAGAGGGTTAAGGGACTTTTTATGCATTTAGTAAAGGGAGGAATATGTGTAAGTGGTAGAGAGAGAGAGAGAGAGAGAGAGAGAGAGAGAGAGAGAGAAGAGAGAGAGAGAGAGAGAGAAGAGAGAGAGAGAGAGAGAGAGAAGAGAGAGAGAGAGTAGAGGAGAGAGAGATATATAGTAGGATAGATCGCGGGATTATGATCTCTCTCTCTCTCTCTCTTCTCTCTTCTCTCCTCCTCTCTCCTCTCGCCTTATCTCTATCTCTCTCATCGCTCTCTTCTCTCGTCTCTCTCTCTTCTCTCTCTCTCTCTTCTCTCTCTCTCTCTCTCTCCGCGCTCTTCTTTCTCTCTCTCTCTATCTCTTCTGGCCTCCTCGACTGCTCTCTCTTCTCTCTCTAGATCTCTCTCTCTATTCTTCTCTCTGCTCTCTCTACCTGCTCTCTCTCTCTTCACTTTTTTATCTATTTCTCGTCTCTCGTATTCTCTCTCCTCTCCTCTCTCTCTCACTCTCTTCTCTCTCTCTCTCTCTTCTCTCTCTCTCTTCTCTCCTCCCTCTTAGATACCTAGAGACCCCACCATACCCAGCTAGACCAGACAGAGCACGAAACCAACATACACAACCAGTGTGTTCTTACCTGTTCCTGCTGCTGGCGAGCCAGCTCCATTTGCTGCCTCTGTTTCTCCATCTGTGAGGCAGCCAGCTTCTTCTGCTCATCGTGGGCGGCCAGGAGCTGCTCTCTCAGGCTGATCAGCTGAGTGATCATGGTGCTCAGCTGGTGCTCCTTCTCTGCCAGGCTCTCTGGAGTACCTGGAGGGGGGAACAGGGGTCATGAGAAAGGTTAGAGGTCAGCGGGGTGATCATGGTGAAGGGTGTCAGGAGGGAGATGGACACACAGTACACACGTGTACTATAGAGAGAATACCCTTGAGCACACACGGACAAACAGATACAGTTACAAACACGAGAGAGAACATCTATGAAGAACCAAGAAACAGGCTTTTTCTAGGCTTCTACAGTATGTGCGGGGATCCTAATTTCAATGAGATGAAAATAAACACATAACATGTTTTATTGTACTATTCTATTAATCTATTCATCAACATCTGAAATACTTGGCCATGTCAAAGAAGGCTCTACTGTCACACGCCAGCCTTGCGCTGCCACTGACTGTGGAATGTCTTCATGAACAGTACTAAGGTCACAGCCCTGGGTTGTCAATTTTAGCTGCTCACAGCTTCACAGAGGGTGAGAAGAGAAAGGGTCAGGGAGGGATTGTTCCCTGGGAATAAGGAGATCTGTTGGGGGGGCTGGTGGGGGTTGTGGGGGGCTGATGGGGGCGGATGGGTGTTGTGGGGGGTGATGGGAGTTGTGGGGGGCTGATGGGGGTTGTGGGGTGCTGATGAGGGCTGATGGGGGTTGTGGGGACTGATGGGGGTTGTGGGGGGCTGATGGGGGTTGTGGGGGCTGATGGGGTTGTGGGGGGCTGATGGGGGTTGTGGGGGGCTGATGGGGTGTGGTGGCTGATGGGGGTTGTGTGGGGCTGATGGGGTGTGGTGGCTGATGGGGTGTGGTGGCTGATGGGGGTTGTGGGGGCTGATGGGGGTTGTGGGGGCTGATGGGATGGGTGGGGGGCTGATGGGGGCTGATGGGGGTTGTGAGGCCTGATGGGGGGTTGTTGGGGGTGTTGGGAGTTGTGGGGGGGCTGATGGGGGTTGTGGGGTGCTTGATGAGGGCTGATGGGGGTTGTGGGGGGCTGATGGGGGTTGTGGGGCTGATGGGGTTGTGGGGACTGATGGGGGTTGTGGGGGCTGATGGGGGTTTGTGGGGGCTGATGGGGTTGTGGGGGGCTGATGGGGGTTGTGGGGGACTGATGGGGTGTGGTGGCTGATGGGGGTTGTGGGGGGCTGATGGGGGTTGTGGGGGGCTGATGGGGGTTGTGAGGGCTGTTGGGGGGTGTGGGGGGCTGATGGGGGTTGTGGGGGGCTGATGGGGAGGGTGGGGGGCTGATGGGGGCTGATGGGTGTTGTGGGGGATGATGGGGGTTGTGGGGGGCTGATGGGGGTTGTGGGGGCTGATGGGAGTTGTGGGGTCTGATGGGGATTGTGGGGGGCTGATGGAGGTTGTGGGGGGCTGATGGAGGTTGTGGAGGCTGATGGGGTTGTGGGGGGCTGATGGGAGTTGTGGGGGGCTGATGAGCGCCAAAGTCACACCATAGCATCCGACAGCAGCCAGTCGTCTCAGTCTTCTTCCTCTGTCACACCACTAGCTCATGTAGCGAGGTGCTGCCACTGTCTCTAATGACTCAACAACTCTCTTCCTCCTCTCCCGTCCTCCTCCTCCTCTAATTAGGGGAGGAGCAGACACAGACACCTCCACACTCACATCCATCTCTCTCTAAGAGGGTCACTGCATAGAGCTACTCCACTGCATCCTCTGACAAGTGAAAACACATAGCAACACCAACTAGACTGCTGCCCTGAAATACACACAGCTACTGGAAACAAAGAGAGGCATTTCCATAAACAAGAGGAGAGAGAGGAGTCATGTTTCTCCTGGGTGATGGATAATTACTACATCACTAACAGGTGCCACGCCTCCTAGACACACCCACAACACTACGTCCCAAAGCTGTCCAAAGGTGATGCAAATTATTGTAAGCAGTTAATAAGAGCAAATGGTTCAGAGCGTTGGGCAAGGACACAATGGTGAACACAGCCCTGGTGAGGATGTGTGTCTCCTCTCCACCAGACACGTGTCCTAGTTCAGCGTCCGTGATGGAGAGCATCTCCACTGCACTGCTCTGCTCTGTACCTTCGCCTAATCAATGCTAAGTGATCCTCCCATTGACTTACACAGCCAACATAATTGCCAGTGAGAGGCTGGACAGTAACTCACTCTCCTCTCACTGCACTCCTCTGTGACAAGCGGAGGTTGGAGCTAGCGCACGGTGGAGGAGAGAGAGCGCATGTGAGAGAAAGAGAAAGAGAGAGAGAGAGAAATGAACATTAAAAAAGACGAGAAAAACGAGACATAAAGAGAAGAAAAGTACAGACCGAAGATCGACAGCGAGCGAAGCGCGCCACCTACGAGAGAGCGAAAAAGAGAGAAGAGAGTGGGAGATGGTTACTACAAAGTGCCTACAGCAGAACAACAGAGAGAGAGAGACTGAAAGAGAGAAGGGTAAAGGACAGATAACAGTACAGTAAAGTCTGGCTGGGGGCCAGAGGGATTGAGAGGGAGCTGAATTCTTTCTTTCCTGGGTGTCTTCCTCTATCCTTTGGACACATCTGTCTTGAGTTTCTCCCAGGGCTCCCCGGGGCCCTCTCCACTCCAACTATTTTAATTTGACTAAACACCTGATTTATTTTATCTCTCCGATGAGGAAGGCCATTTGTCTTAATAGGGCCTGTCAACCTCCAGAACCCATTCAGGGCAATTTACTGGCAGCCTTGCCTAGCACTGCTTGCCGCAATGGAAGAGAGCTGCAATTCTCCATTTATCCTCTTCAGAAAAAAGCACCTAAAAGCTGCTATTCACTGAGCCTGCATGCGGTTTCCTGGCCTGAATTGACTTCTTATTCACCCAACCACTTGTTGTGAATGCCTTATCTGTAAAAATTGTACATTCAACAGCGATTTTATTAACCTTTGGCTGTGTCCATGAAGGCGCAGCATTTTGTGGGCCAGCGAGATGCATCTGTCACAGGTCACCAGTATCTACAACGCAGAAGACAGCAAGCCCAGGGAGGGAGGGGGGAGGGGGGAGGGAGTGAGGGATTGGGTACGGCTGTGATCAACTGATGCTCATCCTAACGAGGAGGGTAAAGACAGGGAGCACAGCCGCCCCTTCTCCTACTCCTCCTTCTCCTCCTCTTGTCCAGGGCCCCCAGGAGTGGCAGAGAGAGAGAGAGAGAGAGAGAGAGAGTGAGAGTGAGAGAGAGAGAGAGAGAGAGAGAGAGAGAGAGAGAGAGAGAGAGGAGAGAGAGAGAGAGAGAGAGGTACTCTAACAGCGAAGCAAACATCTGGACTCAATCCTGTCCTCTCAGGATCCCTGCTCTTCTCTGATGTTCAGTCACAAGCCAATCAGTGAATGTCAATACTATTTTAGAGTATGATAGTGTGGAATTGCTTGTTAAATGTGTGTGTGTGTGTGTGTGTGTGTGTGTGCATGTATCCTGACTTCCAGGAGCAGGCCAGTGCTCAGGGGCCACAGAGGGATCCAGTGGGCTCTAGCCTGGGGGCCATGTGTGGGGAGTGCAGGCCTGCACAAACACTAACAGAATACTAACAGAGGGCCCATTGTTTTGATGTTGGGCGGCATTATGGGGAGCTCAGACTGCCCCCTGTACCAAGACAAGTTGGATCTCCTCTCTTTCTTTGCTCTACTTTATTGTCTTGTCTCTCTGGAACTGGTTCTAGTCTAAATGGATGCTTAAACTGAATGTTTCTTCCATTTTAAATAGATTTCCAGTAAGCTGATTTGGACAGTGAATCTTGTTTAAACAATTATAATCAGCCAAAATGTATTTTTAGAAGAGATTGTAAAACATAACATTGCATGCCTAAAATTGATTTGGCATCAGATTATCCAAGTTTGACTTGACCTGAGCAATGTCTTCCCTGTACATCAGCATCACCACGTCGGACTACATATGTTTTTTGTTGGCCTGGTTTGGTGTAAAAATCATTTTCTTCCTGCTCTAAATGATGGATTAGCTTTAAAATGCAGATAAAACTTTTATTGGGCGGTGCAGTAGAGGACAGCGGTGGTGTGTGTCTGACCGGCTTGCTGACAAAGAGGCAGTTTCCTGCATATTGCATGGCTCTTAACAGCGGTGGGGCCAAGCCGGCCCGTTAACGTGTCTCCTCACATCCCGTTTGCAACGGGAGACGGACAGCCGAGGGATGCCTCCTCACTACATGAAGCTGCCTGGTTCCCCAGGTCTAATGTGTTGTGACTTCCTCATTCTCCCACACTGCCTCAGGCTGCTGGGACTGGGGCTGGATCAGGCTGCTGGGACTGGGGCTGGATCAGGCTGCTGGGACTGGGGCTGGATCAGGCTGCTGGGACTGGGGCTGGATCAGGCTGCTGGGACTGGGGCTGGGAGTGGGTCAGAAGGACAATAGCAGCCTGAAACAGGAGCCAGTCCGTCCCAGGACGTCACGTGAGCGGGCAGGTTGGAGGATGGGCAGGTGCTCCCGTGCTTTCCCCTCAGCCCTCATGCTAATAGGGAACATGCCAGACTGACACTCTGGAGGAGACAGACAGCAAAGTGTTGTTGTTCACCACCTCATTCAGCATTCACCTTTTCAGATGCCTGCCTCTTTTAAACGTCACAAAGTAGGGCAGAAAACATCAACCAAACGAGCGACTAAATAAATGATAAGAGAAAAACAAGCGGGCCATGGTTGCTGGGAGGGGAGTCGGGCCTTGGGGTCTGTGGATAAAAGGCACTTTGTAGGGGTGCGATTTGTTCTGTCCAATACCCACATCTCCCTCTCTTGGCCCCCTTCTCTTTCTTCTAATCAAGCAGTCTCTAATTTGGGTTCCAAGTCCAGCACCAGGGAAAAGAAGGAGGCTTGTTACTTTGAAGAGTCCCGGGTGAGTAACGCAGATAAAAGATTCAGCCACAAAAAAGGAGAAAAGGAACGAGGGTGAAAAAGAGAAAAAAATCACAAAACACCCTATTCTCTCCCTTCCTTTGGTTAGCACAGCTGAGCCATTATGACCCAATCTGAATGACTTTTTTTTTACGCCAGAACACTGCAATTTCTTTGTCCCTCCATCAATCAGCTATTGTGGATGCT